TCTGCCACAACTGGCTTGTCAACCGGCCTAACTTGCTTGACTGTACCCCTCCCCATTGGATCATCTGCCCTAACCACCTTATATACCCCCTCCTTCTCGCTCGATGCCCATTCCTCTAACCCGTCCGCCTGCGCATCGCCCTCACCATCTCCTCGTACACCTTCGACCCTACACCAATCGTTGCGACGGCGAACATCGCAACTATCACCCCTTTATACTGGCATGAACCGCCTCAACCTCCGTGAACTGCCCGCCGTCCTCGCCCAACGCCTCCTATCGCCGACACCAACCCTGCGGCAACCCGCAATGGAAACAACTGCTGAAATTCTCCATCCTCCGTCCGTCGAACATAGCCTCCTCAATCTGCCTCCTATACCTACATGGATAGCCGTGTCTCGACGCGTTCCGGCATAGAGTAATTGAGTAGTAAAAGTAAGATGTGATGATAGCTATTGTAGACGTGATAATAGTTTGGACCCGGACTCCTGTTTGGGGACCTGATTCCTTCCAAGCTAACTATCACATCTAACAGTGGGCTAGGAGCCAAAACAGCCGTAGGAGGCGCGGGCACCGGAGCCCGTCCACTTCATCCATCTCCTCCAGCCAACTACGTATATACTCAGGCCCGTTCAACAGCAGACCTGGCCAGTCCGTCCAGCCCATCGTCTCTAGCACTATCGCGCCTAATGTGCTCACGCCCGTGCCGGCGCCGGTGCCTCCTACGATCATACACGCCGTGACGAACCGCTGGACGACCTTTACCCATGCGCATGGCACCTCCTTATACAGCACGTCCGCCGTCGCTAACGCCCTCTTGCTGGTTGCCGTACTTCTCGTCCATCTGTTCCCGGTAGGCTGTCCGCCAGCAGAGCGTCAGCGGGAACCGGCACACGTGGCACCACGCCCCCGTCCCGCCGCCGCTAGCTCGGTATGTCCGGAACATTGCTAGCCAGCTCTGGGCTTCCGACGATTCCGCCCGATGCGAGCACCTTTTCAGCTTGTGCGTCTCTACTATCGGCCCCCATTCATAAAAGGCACAGAGCGCACAGCCGACATCCCTGCTTCGCAGCCGGGCTCTGAGGTCGCAGATCAGTGGGTCGGATGCAGTATGCCCACGGCGCTCAGGCAAGCCTATTGGGGTCGGGGGTGAGTAGACGGTGATGGCTGACAGACGCCTGTATATCTCGGCTGGGTCTGAGAGCTGTTCCCTGGGCCGCAATGCTGCGTTGGGATGGGCTCTAGCTGTCCCTGCTGTTGGAGAGGTGCCTCCGGTAGGTATCTGGAGACGCGCCTGTCGCTCTGCTGCCCGCCGCTCGGCGTCGCGCCGCTGCGCAGCCCGACGCTGCTTCGCATTGAGAGGCGGCTGTTGCGGGGCGCACCTTGTGTTTGGGGATGTGGGGAGCGCTGAGCTGCCCCTCTGATGGCGCAGCCTACTTAGAGCATCCTCTGGTAGTTGTTGCGGGGGTGGTGGTTGACCGGCCTCACTTATAGTAGTGTCCTCCTGGGGCGTGGTTACTGCGTTAGGTGAGCCGGCCTGAGGGCTGGTTGGCAGCTGTTCTCGCGTGTCCGAGATGCTCTTGATCATCTGTTCATAGTAGGAGTCCGCCTGAGTGGGCATAGTGAGGCAGGTTGCTATGTATATAATAACGATAGCGGTTCAGCTTCTTGCCTGTGCGTTGGGTGCGGCTGGGACGGACTATGTATACTGGGGGATCGCGGGAATGACGGGGGCTGGCTCACCCCTGGCGTCGTTGGAGGACCGCGATGTGGGGCACGTGATGATAAGATACCAAGTATCTCAAGTGCAAATCAGGTAACCTGACCATAGTACGAGGGAACCTGTTTTAGGGAAACATTCTTCTTTTGTGTGATAACATGACATAGGTTCTTTGTATAGCTGTATTTGTATATATCCTTTGCCATAAACGCTGCAAATAGTATATGGGATACTTTCCAGCCTACTTTTGCTGCCAATTACGTTACGTATGAAGCGAATGTACGGCCTGATAGCAGCATCTCTTAGTCATCCTCCCATGTGGGGGTCTCCACTACGGCGCTTAAGCATGTCTAGCGACACGGCTTCAACTTCACAAACTCAGTTCCCATTCACCTCAACGGTCCATCTCAGAATGGCGCAAGGCCGACTCACTCTTCCCGCAGAGACTGTTGGGTGTATATCGCAACACCTCGAGTCACCTGATCTGCTAAGCTTACGCTCCGCCTGCCGGGCTCTAGCTGACAAGACATCTGGACCTTTCCAGGACCGTTTCTTTCGCACGCGCCATATCATGCTTGAACATCAGAGCATCCGGAACCTGGTCGAGATCTCTCACCATTCAGTTTTCCGTTGCGCGGTGCAAGTCGTCGAACTCACTACTGATCACTTGGTCGCGCCTCCGGATTACATGAGCCGAGCGGACTATGAGATGTGTGGGATTAACGATGAATATGATTGCATCAGGCTCAGCGACGGTGAGACTTTGTCACTTGGCGATGACAGTTACGAGGCTGTTATTGAGAGGTATAGGGCCGAATGGGGTAGCTACAGGGACTTCCTTCTGAGAAAGGGAGACTGGATCAGGGACTTGGTTGAGGCACTATCCAACCTCCCTCATTGCAAAGCTGTCGGCATTGACGACGACGTCCGTCCCTGGGGGGCCCTTCGACTCGGTCGCCGCATTGGCACGTTTCCGAACCGCTTCGTCACTCCCTTCCAGGCCCAGAGTATGGTCTTTGCCACCACGTTGATCAGAGCCCTGTTCATAGGACTGCTGCACAGTCGCCATGCTGTAGAGAGACTCTATATTCAGTTTGGCGATCTGAAGACGGGCTGCACCTCTGTCACCCCACGCATGCTATCAACGATCCCTGTGTCTGTAGACACTTTGAAGAATCGGCTTGCTCCCATCAAAACCCTGCTACTTGTGGTCAACCCAAACAGCCACCAGAACGCATTCGATGAGGATGTGAAGAAACTAGTTTCCAACCACCGCCCCGATCCAGGACTACGGATTTCCGATTGGTGTCCGGAGTTCTGCGGCTTCCTCCGTCTTTTTCTCACGCTGACCGACTTCACCTTACACTTCAATCCCCGCGACGAAAGGCAAGCAATTTCCGAGGCTTTCCGAGGATCTTCGAATTCCCAGCCTCCAGAGCCCTCCGTATCGAGTTCGTCGACTGCACAAGGGACGAGCTTATGACGTTGCTAGAGGGCATCGCGACACGCTTCGGGAGCTTGTTCTCGAGTCCGTTGATGTCACTGGAGGGGGGCGAAAGACGTGGTCCTCGCTCCTCGGAAGTCTCCAGCATAGCCTCAGGTTAGAGGCAATAGACTTGGGGAACTGTATGGTGGATGGGTTTTATCTCTGTTCACGCTCCTCGGTAACGTTTCTCAACCAAAGGTTTTGCGCAAGTGGCCCTGAGGAGATTGAGGCTATGCGGTCAGCATTAGATGGGTTAGAAGAGTCGGAAGCGTTCCCTGGTCAAGACGATCTCATGGTGAGTAATGCAGAGTTTAAGTAACGTATGAGATCACCGCGTCCACAAAGGTTATAAAACCCACTCGCCTGAGGTAAAGCATTCTTGTTCCACTCTAACCTGCTTCAGTGATATATAAGCTATGTATCTAGCTCCCTATCCTATCACCTATTACCTATAGATCTATCCCTAAGGTCCTAGCTGCTAAGCACACTATATACGCGCCGAACACACAAACAGCTAAGTGTCCTTTCGCCCGTTGCCAACGTCTCGCTCATCACATCGCTATCCGCCGCTAGGCTTATCGGCAACGATATCACCCCTCATTCCCAACACCAGTCGAGAGGCCTCGTAGCTTGGTGGTAGAGCGCTCCTCTAGCTAAGGAGAAGATCCAGGTTCGAATCCAGGTGAGGTCGTTCATTTTTCCTTTTTCTTGCGTTTCTTTTTTGTTCTTCCCCCCCTTCCCCGTAATTGGCTGGCTGACGCCCTCTGCCTCGGCCCCGTCGCCCCGCCTCGCCGTCCGGGCCGGGCTGACGGCGGCGGGCCCCGCTCTTATCCCGGGCCAGCGACGTCGCCCGCAAGCGTTGCTCCTCGCCGACTCAGCAATCTGTCAAGCTAACTCCTAACGCTTGACGTGCGTCGAAAGGCCTAAGTAGGAGAACGGTAGTAGGCTGAATCACTGGTTGAGGGCCCTATCAGCTTAATTAGTCGAGCACTCCTAACCCTAAGGAGAAGATCTGGGTTCGAGTCCTGGGTGGGCCTCTTTTTTTGCACCCTCTGTCGCTTGTCCATTTCTTCCCCGTTGACGCCGCTGCAGGAGGCGCGGCGGCGCGGCAGCTGGTTGCAATGCCGGTTTAGGATGCGCCTGCGGGCCGCCGCCGGGCTGGGCGGGTTCGATTCGTATGTATGCCCGAAACGACCGTCATGCGCGCGAGACTACGGCCGCGCATGCCTTAAAGGCGTGAAACGTCGCAGAGATATCACCAGTTGGGATGAGAGGCCTGCCAGCTTAATGTGCAGAGCTCCCCTCTAGCTAAGGGGAAGGTCCGGGTTCGAGTCCTGGGCGGGTCGCAACTTTTGCAGCTTTTTTTCTGTGCAACCTTTTGCCCTGATCTCAAATATCCAGTCCGTTTTGTCATAGGCCTCTCCGTTGGCAAGAAATCTCTTGTTTAGGCTTTATTTCGTTTACACTCTCAGTTCTAAGCTATCAGAGTGCAATACCTTACGTATACTTACGAATATGTTGATAAAATTCCCTCTCCTGCAAGCACCGCCTAGCCTCACATTATATACTATATCTAGGTCTCTCGTATCTCCAATCCCCGTTTATACTCTCCTTCCTCAGGATAATGGTCCTGTTGGCGAGGTACACAACCTTTCGACATAACAGTCGATGTGTCCCCCGCGTGATGGCTCAGCAAGAGAGGCTGGTGGAGAAACGCATCACCTGGCTCCTATCGGATTCGCCCACCGAAATTGGAAAAAAAAAACCAAAGGCATCTGCATCTCCTACTCAATTCCTATTATCTCTATTCCCTTATTCGCCTGTTTATTGTATTTATATAACCTTATCGATCCTTGATGATGCTCGCGCAACGCTCCGTCCAGATGCTGTCCTGGCTGTTGAAGACCACGCTGATAAAGTCGTCTGGTCGTTTCATGGCCGACCGTAGCTCTCGGAGTGTCTGGAGGAGGTCCTCTTGAGGCCGCAGCTGCAGGTCTGTGTTTCGGGGGCTGTCGCGGTTGCTTTTTGAGGTGACCCAACCCAGCTCACGCAACATCCTGTTGCTGCACCCCTTATGCTCTACAGCGCTGTTAGCATCATAAGCCTCACACCATCCCTGCGTTATACTGTACCAATCTTCTTCGTCATCTCGGCTACATCATAGGCCGTCCCACTTGAACCCTTCTTCCAGGGGAACGAGGCGGGGTAGAGGAACCACATCATCCTCGTGACCATAACGAGGGCCAGCTGGGCCGGGTCCTTTCTCTTGGCTGCGGTCCCGAATTTGCGCGACCCAGGCGCGACCTCTGGCGTTTCCGATGAGGAGCAAACGGTCAATGTGATCATCAGCATCAGGCAACAGAGGGGGTCCTCGATGTTGCTGTAGAGGACGTTTATCGCTAGCTGGTAGTGGTCCAGAACCTGTATATCGCCCTTGTTAGAGAAGATCGCCTTAGCCTTGAGAAAACCGTCCGTAATAAGGCTGGGGACGTCGGTGAAGGGGAAGCTGCAGCCGAAGTTGATGGTTCTGCGCGTCTGCCTGAGCGCCCGGTCGTGCGCAGCTTTCTCGTGCTTGATTTGAGCTTCCTGCGCCGCGCGCCTCAGGGAGCCTGGCGGGCCGGTTACTACTACGTGCGCGACCTCTCGACCGCACAGGCTGACGACGGTTGTTGACGTTAAGCGGCCCTTGACGGCGTCAGGCACCCACTCAACACCGGCCGCGAGGAGTCGGCTGGCTATCACGGAGACCCACTCGTCGGGCTTGAGTCCGTTGCTGGCCTGGTTGCCGCTAGTTATGGCCGCCTGTAGATGGTCCGGCCATGTCGCGTTGACTGGCGCGGATGCTGCCCGCCCCTTCTCAGTAGAGACAACGCGGAGAAGCTGAGTAGCAAAGTCGTGCCTGGTGCGCGTCCTCGACAAGGTTATTTTTATGCGCGAGCCGCCTGAGGTGAGACCGTCAATTAGCCGCTGTAGCGCCACATGGGTGAAGGCGTCTGGCGCCGCTTCCCACGCCTCAACAGCAGACTTACACGCCTCTTTCTGCTCTAAGGTAATAGGCATACTACCAGTGTCGCTACTACCTTCTTGCAGCCTGCGCCGTAGTTGGTTAGCTATGAAGAGCTTCGTCTGGGGGATCCACATCTCCCGCATGAGTTCCGTCACATATTCCGTCACAGCTGCATGGCTCTTGAATGCGTCCCGGCCTAGCTGGCTGAACCAGATCTCGGTCTCCCGGTGGGAGGCAAGGCGGTCGCCGTAGTGGTGCTGTAGCTCGCTAATATGGAGCAGTATAAGCCTTCCCGTCTTCGCGGAGCGGGGCCACCGGCTGGTGTCCATAAAGCAGGTCGCTGCCCCGGCTGGAGCGAGGTCTAGTACGGCTGGGTCGATATAGGGCCACGCCCCAGCCAGAAGGCTGTCGATGGTGCCTAGCGGCCGGAGCACCGTCTTCGGCAGGTGGCGCTCATGCCCGGTGAAGATATACCCACCAAGCCGGTCAAGTACTGCAACAGCCTCAGAGTGTGCGAGGTCTAGGCCGCGCTCGCCGCCAGCAACGTAACGCCGTTCCATCTCACAGATAGCAAGCTCAAACAGGCGGCAGTAGGCTGACATGATACGGGGGAAGATTCCGACTGGTATAGACCGAAAGATGTGGACATACGACTCATGCTCTGTGAGGAAGAAGCGCATGAGTTGGAAAATAGGGCGAATAACGTTCTCGAATGTGCGCTCAACGCTGTCCATATGTCGTATATTGAGTGATACAACCTGCTCCATCCGGTATGCTACCTCATCCTTCTCGATAGCGATGTCCAGCTGCCTACGCTCTCGCGCAAATGGCTTAGACTCCTCAGGCTGCTCAGGCGTGAGGTCGCCACGGATACAACGTAGCAGCCTCTCCCGCCTGTCTCTTGTGTACGACATGGCGGATGTGTGTGACGTTGGGGCTGTTAGCGCTGCTGTCGCGTACCCCTTCGTTGCGAGGAGGGCGCTGGCGCTGTGGCGCACGCTTCTCTTGATGTTGGAGTAGCCCTGGAAGTAGCCGAACGACAGCACGTCTGCGCCCTCATTGCGGTCGCTCATATTCCCCTGTATAGCGGTGTAGAGCGAGTTGAGGAAGGCGGGCGGCTGGCTGGATGAGAAGTTTCCATACGTTGGGTGGAAGGCCTGCGGGTAGAAGGTGTAGTCGCGGTTACCAGGGTACTCTCGCGCCACCATGTTCCGGTCGGCGAGGAGGCAGCGCGTCTGCGAGCTACCCGACTCGCTGTTGATACAGACTGCAAGGGCGTACGATATAGCACTGATACTGCTGAGATCAAAGCGGGCGTCGAGCTCTATAATCATCCTCTGCAGGTCCCTGCTCTCCCTGAGCATCTGCTGGTACTCCCGGCCGTCCACTGCATCGCTGTGTGTTCTTTGTTCATCGTTAAGAGAGAGCTCTTCAATGTCCTGCTGAACATTTCCATCTCTAGGGCCCTGCTCCCCGCCCTCCTCCTCCTCCTCCTCCTCCTCCTCCTCATAGGGTATATGCCTCTCGCGCGGCAGGTCGTAGATGCTATCGCTGACCTGAATCTCGATATTCGCGCCGTAGTCATACGCGTGGAACGCCGGCTCGTGGCGTCGCCAGAATGAATTGTGGTTGTGGTTGCTGGCCCAGACAGCCCAACCGTCCATGAACTGCTGCTGGAAGACCTGCCACTTAGCTGAGCTTATACGCTGAGTGCTCTTTGTCCCCAACCGCCAGCAGGCCTCAACCCCCTCGCCAAGCAGCTGCGGCGACTGGAAGACGCCCACGATATATGCAGCCAGCTCGCGGGCTAACCCAGCCGGCATCCCGCTCTTCTCTGAGGCCGTCTGTCTCTCGCGCGGGCCCCCGCCCCTGGAGGTCGGCTCGTGCGCCACGGGGTGCATGACGACGAACCAGACCTCTCGGGTACCAGCCTTGGCGACCCTGAACGTGCGCCCGGTGATATCGAACGGGATGCCGCCGATATGCTTTG